ATTTTTGTGTGAGAAACATGAAAGTTTTGTGCCCAAAAGGCAGTGTTGACACAATTCTATAAAACTTTTTAAAAGCGTTTTTAATTTTCAGAATCTGTGTTATGTGTGTGTCAGGGGAGTATGTGCAATGTGGTGCAAATGCCTGCAGAGACCAGAGTTGGTGGGGAGGGGTCAACAAAAGGGGGGAGGGGAGGGGTGGGGAAGAGACCGCTCAGAGCACTAATTTCTATTGCCGGGCCCTGGCTTCAGTTCCCACCGCACACATAGCGGCTCACAACCACCGTTAACTCGGTTCTGGGAAATGTCACCCTTTCCTGAGGTCCTTGGGCGCTTGTACTTAAACTCACAAAGACGAACACACATATCCATGAATTAAAAAATAAACCTTAGGCAAGCAGGTGGTACACATGCATGCAAACACCTTTATTATATTCTTATTATATTTTTAAATGGATCTTTAAAAAAACAAGGGAGGTAGTGGGCTGGAGAGATGTCTCAGCAGTTGAGGGCTCTTGGAGCGGACCTAGGTTTGGTTCCCAGCATCCACCTGGGGGCTAACAACCATCCGCACCTCAAGTTCTCAAGGATCCAGCTCTTGCCTCAGACAACGCTGCACACAACTCAGTTTCTCTTCACAGAGCTTAAGCGAAGCAAGACTGAGCGCTGTCAGGCCCAAGCACCTCCCACAGAGCCCCTTAGAGCGTCAAAGGGAGAGAGGTTCAGATGTCTTTTCTATGTAGTCACTGCAGACAAAACTTGCAGTCTTCCAACACATTCATCTTTGACAATTTTCCGAGATGACAACAGTAGTTATACCTGCGGGTTTTTGTTGTTGTTTGTTTTGATTTGTTGGTTGGTTTTGTTTTTGTTGAGATAGGATTTCTCTGTGTAGCCCTGGCTGTCCTGGACTCTTTGTAGAACAGGCTGGCCTTGAACTGTACCTGCGTTTCTATTAGCTATACTTTTCTGCTTTCACTCTTCAGCTGGTAAGTCAATGTTTACATGTTTCATACTGTTCCAGTATTTTGAGCCTTCCCCATAAAGATCCAGCCATAACACTTTTATGTGAAACTTCTTCAGTCACAGAACAGTGGCATATATTCATTTTGTTGATATCTTTTACATTTCCCTTGATTGTATTATGTTTTAAAACGGGCTTTTTTTTCTTTTTGATAATTATAATTCAGAATTCATTAAAAACTGAGTTCAGCTGGGTGAGTGACACACACCTAACCTCAGCACTGAGGACACAGAGGCAGGAGGATTACTACCTAGTGAGTTTCAGGCCAGCATGAGCTATTATAGATTGACACAGGAAACCCAGAGTAAATAAATAATTAAAATCAGTCCAGTATAAATTATTAAATCAGCAAGTTTTTGACCAGATAATATCCATGTTATCAGTGGTGTGTGACAAAACAGGCAAACCCTACCAGGACTGCCTAATTCTGCAGTTTCTGGAGGACTATGCTGCAGTGTTTTTGTGTCACCTTGAAGAGATCAGAATATTAGTTTGTGTGGTATACATCCTAAGGAGATAATAGAAAATGCCTGTGTCATTGTTCATGGTGGTAGCAGCAAATTGGAAATGGCTTAAATAGCTAACACTAAAAAAGCAATTGTACATATGCTCATGATGAATTATTATATAGCTACAAAAGTATTTGCAGGATTTTTATTTATTTTGAGACAGGGTCTTTCCTGTTAGCCCTGGCTGTCCCAAAACTATGCAGACCACACTGGCTTTGAACTCAGACATCTGCCAGCCTCTGCCTCTGGAGTGCTGGGATTAAAGGTATGTGCCACCATATTCAACTATTCACAAAAAAAAAAAAAAAAAAAGAAAGAAAGAAAAGAAAAATTGTTTTTGAGAGAGGGTTTCTCAGTGTAGTCTTGGTTGTCCTGGAACTCACTCTGTAGACTGGGCTGGCTTTGAACTCAAGAGATCTGCCTGCCTCTGCCTCCTGAGTGCTGGGATTAAAGGCATGTACCAGCACTACTTGGCCTCTTTTTTTAAGATTTGTTTTTTTATGTGTCTCTGTCTCTGTATGGTATATATGTGCCGGTACCCACAGAGACCAAAGAGGGCACTGGATCAGCTGAAACTGGGGTTACAGGTAGTCATGAGCTGATAGAGGTGGATGTCGGGAACCGAACTCAGAGCCTCTAGAAATGGAAAGTCTGCAAGTGCTCTTAACTGCTGGGCCTTCTCTGTAGCCCTGTCTACAAGAGTTCTCATAACAGAGGACATTTCCCTGATATAATTAAGTGAAAATGAAGATACTCAACTTCTGTATGCTTTTGATTTTTTTTTATTATTATTTGTGTGTGTGTGTGTTTGCACGCACACCAGTGTGCAAACATACATCTACCAGAATGTATCTACTGGAATGCACAAGTCAAAGACAGTGGAAAACCTTTCTGTATCACTCTCCTCCCTTTCCTCTGAGACAGGCTGTTTGGCTGAACCTGAGGCTTTTGGTTGTTTGTGCAGGCTGAAAGCCAGCGAGCCCCAACAACTGTCAATTTTTGACAACTAAGCTGGAGTTACAGATGTGTGTGGTGCATGTCATATGCATGCTAGGATATGAGCTCTGGGACTCTTTTTGTTGTTGTTGTTTTGTCTTTTTTTTTTTTTTTTTTTTTTTGAGACAGGGTTTCTCTGTGTAGTTCTGGCTGTCCTGGAATCTCTCTGTATGTAGACCAGGCTGGCCTAGAACTCATGGAGATCTGCCTGCCTCTGCTTTCCTGAGTGCCAGGATTACAGGTGTGCACCACCATGCCCCTGCTCCTAATTTTAAAGATTTTTTTTTTAATGTGTATAAGCGCTCTATCTGCACATACACCTGCATGCCAGAAGAGGGCATCAGATCACATTATAGATGGTTGTGAGCCACCATGTGGTTGCTGGGAATTGAACTCAGGACCTCTGGAAGAACAGACAGTGCTCTTAACTGCTGACCCATCTCTCCAGCTCCCCTTAAAATATTTTTCAGTCCGAAGGCTAAATTTTCAGATTGGTCAAAGAATCAAGACAATAATAATAGCATCAAGAGCTTCAATATACTGTAAACACTCTTCAATTAGTCCCCAGCACCCGGAAGAGTATGTGGAACACAGGAGCAAGTCCCAGCTTGGTGGGTTTCCGTCTTTGCCTCGCTGTTAGGGATTGAACCCCAGGTTTCACGCACACAAAGCCTGCAATGCCCCTTATCTCTGGGCATTATCCCCAGCCCATTCACTGTTCACTACGCATTATCCAAGGCACACTCTTTCAATTAGAAAAACCCTTTATCTTCCCCCCCCCCCCCCGGGGGGAAGAAGGGAATCCTCTCACATTTTCTGTATCAGATGGCATCGCAGAGCCTAACAGCTGAGACAGGGTCACATCTGAAAACACCTGCACTAGAGTTCTAGAGCTAACACGTGGCCTAAGACCATTGCCTGCGTTAGTGTGTACCATTGTGTGTGTGCGTGTGTGTGCATGTGTACCAGTGTTAGCTGGCAGTAGTGTACAAAGCTAAATTGTTCTGATCCTTTTAATCCCACCCAGGCACAGTCTTCCTCAGAGTTGGGATTGCCTTGAGGAGGTCTGAAGAGAAAGAAGAACGAGCAACAGTATCTCATTTGAGGACCCATAAGCAGACTGGCACTCACCTAAGGTTCCTAGTTAAGGTCTCTAACGAACAGTGCCATTTTATAATTCTCGGAATGCCTCCACCACTTTTTGTGACAAGGTCTTGCTTGACACCGGCTGGCCTTGATCCTCCTGTCTCAAGTGTCCTCTTTTGTCGGTTTTTCACTGTTTTTTTCCTCACACATATTTACGGTGTGTGAGCACACATGCTCTGGAGATCAGAGGACAACCTGAGAGAGTTAGTGTTCACACAGTTCTCAGGGTCAAACCCAGGCCTTCAAGCTTGGTGGCAAGTGCCTTAACCTGGTGCTACCTCGCCAGCCCGAAAGTGCCTGCTCTTAAAGTTCCCTGTCTCAACAGGGAGGGAATCACTACTATGTTTTCTCCTGAAAAATGCTGTCTTGTTTGGTCTGGCGATCTAAACCTGTAATTCCAGGACTCTGAAGGCAGAGGCAGGAAGATCAACACCAGTTTAGGGCAGCCTAGGCTACAGAGTGAGACCCCCCCCCATCTCAAACAAAACAAAACAAAACAAAAAACAACAAAACAAGGCTTTGCTGTGGTTCCTCACACACAGTAACTATTGGTGAGGAAAAACAAAAAGAAAAATGTTAGGTACAACTAAACTGAAGAGACATAGGAAGACAGGCAAGGAGACTGGCATGTCCCACGTGGACAGGTAAAGACCTGGACCCAGAAGAGATGCTTTCCAGGAGAGGTGCCCGTGCCTCGAATGCCAACCTGAATCATGTTCCTTTCGGGCCAGGCCAATTAACTAAAGCTGCCCCGTTGAGGGGACAGGCCAACCAAACGCCCCTTCATTGTCAACACGTAAATCCCTTACCTGAAAATAAGCAAAGCAAATGCTACCAGATAATTTCGCTCTCTGAATAGTAAAATATGTTTGCTATTTTGAATTAAGTCTCTGAAAAAAGCTAGTGCTCTCATCGGATTTTTATAATTATTTTGTCTCAGGGATAAACCCGATTAATCTGTTTTCATGTTTGCCATGAAACGCTATCTTTGAATCATTCTTCTGTATCGAAAACAAACCAAAAAACAGGATTCACAATCAAAATTTAGCTATTTCTCTCTGGACCACAGAGAAATGACCAACTTCGGTGAAGTTACTGTGACCCTAGCAGATGGGAGGAGTTGGTAACTTATTGACCAATTACGTTTGAAAAGAATCAGGTTGCAAAACAATGCAATACAGATGAAAGTAATGTACAGACAGTTTAACTTCTGAATGTAGAGGAGGAAATTTTATTAGGCAAAAGCAATGGATTTTAAAAAGTAACAAAAATAACTGTATGTAATCCAAATTTTCCATTTAAAATAACATACAGAAAATAACATTATAATAATAAGCAATTATGCCACTTAGAAATAAATTATTGTAAGTCATTACACTTGGAGTTAGTACAGTCAAAATTCAAACCATTTTTTTAGTAAATCTAGTGCAATAAAAACATAGTAAAAATTGCTTACTCATTGCTACCTTGATCTGGCTTAATTACTGGGAAGTTTTTCTATTTTCTTATGTATTTTAAGAAGGCTGAAGTTCTATATGCTCATTCCCCAAAGAGATTAACGCTGATGGGCATTTAAACTCTAACACTTGTCTAGACTTTTTGTCTTAAAACACTCATATAGTTGGAATATGTTTTGTCTGTCTGAGATAGGGTCTCATGTACCCAGGCTGGCTTTGAATTTACTCTGTAGCCAAGGCTGGCCTTGAACTTTTTTTGATCTTCCCACCTCCACCTCCCAAATGCTAGGACTACAGGCATGCATTACCATGCCTGGCCCCTGTATTTGAACTCTCTGGTGGATTGCCCTTTCCTCTCTTGTCTCCTCTAGCCCCAATATCCCATTATTGTGGATTCTTTCTCTAAGTTTTCAGCCAGTGAGTTTCTAGAATGATTATTCAAGTTATTACTACCTCAGAGTTAGGATTTTCTTCTTTAATTAAAAAAAAGTTTGTTTTTTTGTTTTGTTTTTTTAAAAGACAAGGCCTCATTACATAGCCTTGGCTAGCCTGGAACTCATGTAGACTAGGATGGCCCTGAACTTACAGAGATCAACCTGCCCCTGCTTCCCAAGTCCTGGGATTAAAGGTGTGAGCCACCACACTTTTCATTTCCTAAGACAGGTTTCTTTGTGTAACTTACTAAAATATTTCAAAAATTTTGCATAAAAACAAAGTAAGCATTTAAACATTTGATATTACATACACACAAAAACAAAGAAGCAATAAGGAATTAGTCACACAGTTAACAAAAAAGTAAAAGAAAGCATTTTCACAATAAGGAAATAATATGGCCATATGATTCATGTGGTTAAGAAATGTGTGTGTGTAGCAAAGCGTTTGCAGCCATAGCCAGACTCAAATCTCACTAAGTAGTTTCCTGAGGAAAGTTTTTTTTTTTTAATTTTTATAAGCATATTATCATTTCATTTAATACTTAATTTTGAAATTTGAAGATAAACATGGCAGGATACACTAGTTCTGAGAGTACCAGAAATTTCTTCTACACTATGGGATTGTATTGGTAAGGTCAGAAGAAGAAAATGTATTATTTGTGAAAGTCTACGACTACTGAGTAATAACGCTCCTCTGTTCTTCGAGAGACTATTAGTAAGAAGCTTCACTAATCTCTAGAAGCAAGTGTGTCACTGGCTCACAGGGAGAAAGGAAGCCTAGTGCCACGTTTCCGCCCCAGCTACATTATCTTGTTAAAAAATTGGTCTTGGATTTTCTTTTTCTGCACCCATTTCTTTTTACTTAAGACTCTACAGATATTTTTAGTATCCTTTTAAATTGCTTAACTACATTTCCTAATATATAAGCTATTATTGTGGTTATTTTAAGTTTTGAATGACGTATTCATGAAAATATGTAATTACCTCCCTTTATAATGTATGCACAGTAGTCTAGCAAGCCCTTTCATTCTAGAAGGGAACGGTGAAGACACATGGCATAAAGTTTCATCTTAGTGGCGCTCTGGTCACTGATGTCACATGACTTCTACAGTCACTTTTCTTTAGCAGAGTTTCCATAGGTGCTAGGACAGTCACCGTGAATCAGTTTTGTTACAACAAAGTGATTCCAAAGGGATCTTTATTGAGTTTCCTTGGATCTTTGCCACTGGAACTTTGGGAATGATGACGTTTGTCAGGAAGACAGAAAAGATGGTGCCACGTCAGATCTGATTTCCTGGGTCTGCACTTAAAGATTATCTGTTGCAGAGTGAATTCTTCCCCATGTCCTCTCCATATTCAGATCTGTCACTTCTCCAGAGGCTTAGGAGGCCCTATTGCACCACTGCCACACAGAAAAAGACAAAACTCAAGAAAAATGGTACAAGTCAACTGCCCTACAAGACAACATTATGCTTCTTAGGTCAGAATACTTTAGCTTTGGCACAGAGTAGGAACTAGGAACCAGCTCCAAGAACCTGGATTTCCTTCTCAAATGTAATTCACTATACCTTTCAGGTATAAAGTATTATTGCTGATATGACTCTCCAGATACAGGCACCTTTTATTTTCCTTATTCAGGATTTTAAGTATGAGTGTGCACAAGATGTGTAACATAAACTGGGATGCCAGGCAAGTGAGAGCACAGGGGAGGGAGTGCTTCCCTTCAGAAGGATGCTTCACAGAGGGTCGTTACTGACATACACCTGACTGACACACAGAGGTCCTGAATTTTAAAGCTCTGTTTTCAGGCTTCAGCCATCACCCAAACAGGACTTTCTTCAAATGTTAGGTGTGTACCCTACAAATGAAAGCAGATGACAAATATGGCCAGAATAGTCCTAGGTCCAGAACTCGGAACCTGTCCTGCTGATATTAGGGAGTGATTTTTTTTTTTAATTCTTTATAATTTGTTCACCTTACATACTGATTATAGGCCCCTCCCTTATGGGTAGTGATATTTTTGCAGGAATGTCTTGCCCTAATTCTAATATCCTTTAAAAAAAAAAAAAAAGTCCCTTAAAATGTTTTTCTCACATTAAGGAACGTAAGTGTTTGAAGAAAAAGGTGATTTTCATAATCCTGGTGCTTAAGTCTGTTCCATCAGAAACAGCACTGTGGCTGTGCATACGTGCTTTCTATACAGGCACTTGAGAGGTAAAGGCAGGAGGAGCATGAGTTCAAGGCCACACTGGGCTGAGACCCTGTCTTCAAAACAAAACAGGTATCAACTATTGGTTTAAGGAGAATAAAAACACAACATGCTTCCAAATATGCCTTAAAGGCGTTTAACTCTAGTCCTTTTTCAAATAAGTCATTACAGACTATTACACAAAATGTCTTTTTTTTTTTTTTTTTTTTTTGAGATAGGGTTTCTCTTTGTGTGTAGTCTTGGCTGGCCTGGACTCACTTTGTAGACCAGGATGGCCTCAAACACACAGATCCGCCTGCCTCTGTCTCCCAAGTGCTGAGATTAAAGGCATGCACCACTGCGCTCGGCTAAATTCATTATATTTATTACCTTTTTGTTTTGTTGTTTTTCAAGACAGGGTTTTTCTGTGTAACAGCTCTGGCTGTCCTGGACTCCATTTGTAAACCAGGTTGGTCTCAAACTAACAGAGATCCAGCTGCCTCTACCTCCCACAGCTTTAATTCCACAGCTGGAATTAAAGGTGCGTGACACCACTACTCCACCCAATTTTTGTCTTTAAGCAGCTTCCTTTAGCAAAGCAGGCACACTGTCCCAGTGGGGGGAGGGAATCTGTTTGCTGGCCAAAAGAATAACGAGTTCCTTATCCACATCTATTAAGGCAAAAAGAAGAAACTCGTTAACTGTTACCTTGCTTTTTTCTCAGGGAGATTTGCTCAAGTAATCTGATTTCTTCAACTCATCTGCTCCATAACCAGTATGAGGAAATGGAGGTTGGTGGAGAGATCAAAACACACGAGCAGGAACAGAGGAAGGAAGAGAAGGAAAGCCCCACAGACATGTGCAATTCCAACCCAACTGACTACTGGGCCCCCAATAACTATGCCACCCAATATTTTGAGTTTAAATGAAGCAAAATCAAAACATTCCTCAGCACTTCCTATGTGTCTGAAACAACATTCTGGATGACTCGTTCAAATCAAGTTTTGCTTTCCACTCTCACGTTCTCACCTGGGGTTGGCCCTTAGGTACCCACTATTACCTAGCCACCTTCCCAGGCATCACAGATGACAGACGAGCAGGAAGCACAGCCTCACGTGACCTTTACACGTGGCCTATGCTGGAAAGGCACTTCCTTGTAGATGGAATGTATCTTCATAATTAAGAGCAAAAAATGTAAGCCTGGCGTGGTGGTGCACCCCTGTGATCCCTGCACTCTGGGAGGCAGAGAGGCCGGAGGATCTGTCAGTTTGAGGCCAGCCTGATCTACAAAGTCTAGGAGAGTCCAGGACAGCCAAGGCTACACAGAGAAACCCTATCTGGAAAAACAAAGACAAAAACAAAGAAACAAAGGTGTCGTTTAGGAGAAATAGTTTATCTCTTAACCTTAGTCCCACAGTTGGAAAACTGGCATACTTACCTCAAAGGGGGTGAGGCTTAATTAAAAGTATGTGTGCCAAACATCTGAGAAGAGCGTGCCGAAGAGACGGGTGCTTGGGACTACAGAGAGCCTGACTATGGGCAGGCTATGGGCTTCCTAATCGGGTGCAAACATCAAATTCTTAACATCAAAGATGCCTTCAGCCGTCCATTTCCCACCACCCACACCGGCACACCTAGTTTACGAAGCCTCAGCTACCAAGCACTAAGGGTAGGGCGCTACAAAGATGCGGCCCCTCCATTTCCACTGCTCTGCAGTCCTGGTCAGTGGTAGAGAACCCGCATTTCATCACTGGGAAGCCCGACTCAGAAGAGGACGGCGAACAAAGTTGAGGAACTGATTAAAACAGATGGGAGGGAGGGAGGGCCTCTCTTTTTTTGAAACAGGGTCTCTCTGTGTAGCCCTGGCTGTCCTGGAACTTACTCTGTAGACCAGGCTGTCCTCAACCTCAAGAAATGTGTCTTTTCTTTAAAAAAATAAAAAAAATAAAACAACCTGGGACAGGTTATCATGTAGTCCAGGCTGGCCTTGAGCTCTTAAAATGCTCCTGGTTCAGCTTCCCAAATGCCAGGTTTACAAGCACACAGCACCACATCTGGCTCTTAAGTGAGGATAAACCCAGCTCGCACCAGTCACGTCACATTTAAAGCCCTACGTGCATGTTCTTGCTCAGGTCTTTGTCTTTTGGAGCTAATACATCTTTTGTTAACGATGGCAGGTTTCACTTTTCAATATTCAACCATTACACTGGCTCGTAGAAAGGTCTTTCAGAGATCTAGTAAATACGGGACTTTCTAAGCGTATGAAGAATATTGCTTAACTGGTGAGGCGGTTACCAACCACCACCACCACCAGGCTCCAGGGGCCCATCCTTGGCAGGATCATAATCACTGGTCCATTGGGTGTTTCAGTTAGATTAGCCTAATCAAATGACCTGAAAGCCTACAACTCCCATACATTGACTTATGCTCAAGCTTAACACCTTTAAGATTATTTATGTGGCATTCTGCCTGTGTGTGTGCCTGCAGGCCAGAGGAGGGCAGCAGATATAGATGGGCCCACGTGGGTGCTGGGGATTGAACTCAGGGCCTTTGGAAGAACAGCCAGTGCTCTTAACCACTGAGCCATCTCTCCAGCTTTTTTGTTGCTGGTTTGTTTCTTGTTTTTCTGAGACAGGGTTTCTCTGTGGCTGTCCTGGAACCCCTAGATCCACCTGCTTCTGCTGGGATTAAAGCTGTGTACTACCAGACCTGGCTCATGTTCCTGTTTTTGCTTCAAACTGAACCATGGATTTTCAAGCCCACTGTTGTTCTCTTTACAAGCTCGTCAGCTTCATTCCTTTTTCTCAGGAAGGTCTAACCATGTAACCCCCCCCCCCCAGTCCTAAACTCAAGTGGTAGCCCTGATCCTAGCCTATTTTTTCTCATTAAACATCTGCTGAATACCATGTTACCCATGTGGATAATTTCTCTGAAAAATTCCACTTCAAAAATATGGGAAATTAGCTGGGTGGTGCATTACTGTAATCCCAGCATCCCCAAAGGAAGGCTAAAGAACAGACTTCTTTTCCAACCTTTCTTAAGCGATAAAGCAAGACCCTGTGTCAAGAAACAAAGAGCCTGAAAGGACATGAGAGGCCGAGTGCTTTAGTGCACACCTGTAATTCCTGAATTTGGGAGGATAAGGCAGAGGGCCAGCCTGGGCTAAGCAGTGCATCACAGCCCAGCCTGGGCTACAAGGGAAAAAAATGGGAGGGTTACAAGTTGAATTCTAGTCTTCTTCGGCCTTGTTTCTACTTTATTAAGTACTCAGGTCCAAGGTGGATGTGGTGGAGCATGCCTTTGATCCTAGCACTCAGGGAGGCAGAGGCAGGTGGATCGCTGTGAGTTGTAGGCCAGCCTGGTCTACAAATAAAGAGTCCAGGACAGCCAAAGCTACACAGAGAAACCCTGTCTCAAAAAACAACCAACCAACCAGCTAAACACAAAAGTTCTGAAGTCCAGTCTCCAGGGCTTTTACTGTTTCCAAAAAGGAAACTCCAGCACATAGCTCAGGAGCAGAATGGCTGGTTTCCTGGCATGCTGAGGTTCTGGTTTTGCTCTGGAGCACCAGGAAGAAAATCCACTTAGACTGTTCATTGTTATTAATAAATTCCAGAAACGGGCCTTCAAAGGAAAATACTGTCACTAACAAAGGGAAGAGATGATACTCTAGTTTCTCTTTTCCGCTTCAGATGTGAAAATCTGGACCCTAAATGTGTGAAGTATCAAAGGCAGGAGCAGCAGGTGAATCCCAGCCTCGAGTCTGTCTCCACAACCCAAGAGGAGCAGCAGTAGCAAAAGAGGCAGTGCTTTCTGGCCCCAGCCCAGGAAGGAAGGCAGGCAAGAGGATCAAAGGGAGAGGAAATGGATGGTTTTCATTTCCTTTTACAAGCTAAGCACCTTTTACCTGAGAAAACTGTACATTTTACTTGAAGAAATCTGTGCTACCCTGTAGCTTAATTCCCCCCCCAAAAAACATGTATTCCATATAGCATGAAATAGAAAACATTATCAAATATGGCTTTTCTAAACAAAGACACAGTTGGGTAAAGTTAATTATGTTTATATATTTGTTTGCCAATTTCTTAGTTTTCACCAGCTAAAACACTGTGTTAAACCTCTATTCCTCGTGAAAAAGAGGATTCCTGCTTCTTCTTTCTTCCAGACAGGGTTCTCTGTGTAGCCTTGGCTCTCTTGGATTTACTTGCTTTGTAGACCAGGCTAGCCCTGAACTCACAGAGATCCACCTGCTTCTGCCTCCCAGAGTGCTGGCGTGTGCCACCACGCTCAGTGATTCCTTCTTCAAAGACGGGGAAAATGCCTTTAACTATGGGAAAATGTTTCCCACAGAAATTGACAAGTCACCCCAAAGAAAATTAGGTCTCCTCAGACACTGTAAACCAGTTTTAAAGGATGACTTTTCCAGCTTTTCCTGTTAACTCTGTAGCCTTGAAAAACAATTCTCAAGATCTCATTCATGTTTTCGTGCCTCTTCTCATGACCTCATGCTCTAACTGTCCTCGCTCCTGAGCGATTCTGTCCTCACGCACACTTCAACACGTGCCCATAGATCTCTGCTCACACGGGGCTCTAGTACTTTCAACTAACCCTGACCTAGCCAACACATCTTCCAGTTCTTGGCAACTTGCGCTTTTATGCAAATAGCTTGTGAAACTAGGATCTGCCTATCTTTAAAATACCACGAGAGCAAAAGAGAGCAGTGCTTTTAAACTACTTTTAAACATAGATGTTGACTAAAACTCCTTTCAGGAGAAGAAGGGTGTCCCAAGTAATCCACATTAAAAGGCATTCTATTGGGTAGATGTGTTTATTGGTGGGTTATTGCCAGTGTTTTAGTTCACATGTAACTGAGAGAGGATAGACCCTGTCAACAACTAACAATGTGATTACTTTACCTGAAAAGTAGAAGCTGTTTCCGTTTTTATGCTGTGATTATTTTATAGTCCTCAAATCTTGCATCTTTTACAGAAAATGACATATAAAGCATAGAGAAGAAACTGCAATTTGCCACAACACAATTTTTCCAAATCTTAGTGTAAAACACAACACGCTTTTGTGGACTCTACTTTTATAGAACAACCAGATTTATAATTGATTTCTTTATTTTATTAGATTTATCAATATACATGGCAGCTTTTTCAAATCTCAGTTCCAAAGTAATTTTAAAAATGAAAATTCATTTTTCTTTAGATGTCATATTCCTAAAGAGCTATTAAAGTCTATTTATAAACAAAATAATTGATAAACTAACACACTTTAGAAATCAGAATATTTTTAAATTAAAATATTTTAATGAATACAAGATGTCTTTTTAATTAACTATCATAGTTAAAATCATTATCACAAAACAAAATGGCTTATCCCCACTAATTTCTCAAGTGAGGGAAAGTCATTGGGATTTACACTTAATATAAGTTTTAAATGTGATTACTAAATGATAACATTTTATCAATTATAGGAAATGCTCATTTATAGGAATTTCCTTAGGTCCATCCATCTCAGGCCAAGCTTGAGCCCATGTCAACCTTAAAGGTCAGATTCAGTGCACCTCACTGCCTGATAAGTTTGTCAATTTGAGAATATAGATTTCACTGATCAGGGAGAATGAACAGTAACCACCCCACTATACAACTGTCAAAAGCCAAAAAGCAGAAACAAAGAAACTCAAAAAGCAAAAAACAAAAAAGCTAAAAATGAATAGGAATAGTTTTAAATAGTTATTTAAAAATTCTTTAAAAATTTAAGCAGGAATGGTCAATGATCTTGGGTTTAAAATTTCATAGGATAATCTTAAAATGAAAGTACAAAGAAATAGTGAAGTCATTACCTTATTGATAAAAAACAAAAAACAAAAAACCTAGTTTAATAGTTATTGAAGGGATAACAGCCACTTACAGTCTACATTGAAAAGTAATTTTAATGGTAGGTAAGAAAATTAGGAACAAGAATGCTCTCAAAAGCAACAAAAATGATAAACATTTAATGCCTAAAATGTACTTAAGGTTCTAAACAAAAATGTTAAAGTAAAAGGGCCTTGAAATTTTCCCAACACTTCTTATAAAATCAGCTTCTAAATAGCTCATACCCTTTTGCTTTGGTGTTCTGCCTAGCAACTAAGCATGCGTACAGGAGAAAACCCCTCAGGTTCTTTTCAAGTGCTTGGCATTATAATGTGATCTCATATCTTTCCTCAAGTTAAACTTTGCTCCACATATTCCACATGTATACAGATGAACATCCATATGCTGCTCCAATTGTTCATTATTTGGGAATATTTGAAAGCAGACCTGGCATATAGTCTCGCCAGCAGATAAATGGGAAATCATATGCCGTACGTGGTCATGCTTTCGGAAGTTTCCTTGATCACAAATGGAACAGACATACCTGGCCATGCCTTTGTGCATGTCATTGTGCAGACGCAACTGACGCTCTCTTAGAAACTGCTTTCCACATGTCTGACAAACAAACTGCTTTTCCTTAGTGTGAACAGTGTAGTGTTCTCTCAAGTGACACCGCTGGTAGAATCCTTTGCCACACAGATTACAAAAATGTTTTCGTCTGTGATCTCTTTCATTTTCTTCCATGATGGCACTCTTGAACATATCTTGTTCTAGGCAGCTAGACATATGTTCCACCACTGAATTTTCAGTTTCAAAACGCTGGCCACAATTAGGACACCGAAAAGGACAAGCAGAATGTTTAAATAACTGTTTTTTCTGGATACTGTTTATTTGGTAATGACTGTCCCTGAAATCATCTAGCATTTCCACAAACATGTCTCTTATCTCAGACTGCTCGTCGGGGTTCTCCTCCATGTCCATTTTCTCGTCAGCGTTCCCTAGCCCATTCACTGTCAGATCCTGGGGCTCTCCACATCTCTGAGCATGCTCCTGAAGCTGTCTGCCCTTGACAAGGATCTGTCCACATTTACCGCACGCACAGATATTCTCGATGTGTTTGGCTAAGTAGTGGGATGACAGGTCCCCCTCAGTGATCGTCAGTCCACACAGCTCACAGGAAGCGTTTTCCGTGTCCTCCTGTACTGGACTGCTGCCGTTAGGGGGTCTCATGTTCTCTAAACCACCTCTTTCATCCACGCTTATGGACATCCGAGGTTTTAGGGTCTTCCTACCACTTTTCTTAATGCCAACATCTTCCTCAACATAGTATCTGTAAAACGGCTCTTCAGGCTCATCCTCTAATTCATCATTGTCAGTGGATTCATTGCAGTCTTTGTCAGTGACTTTAATAATGTTGAAGTCTTTCATCTCATCCGCTGGAATATCTTCTGGCTCCATCTTGATGATAATTCTTTTCGTCTCAGCAGCTCTACTTTTTTCTTCACCAGCTAGCCCAGACTCCACTGTGCCTTTTCTGCTTGCAGTGGTCGAAGCTGAATCATCAGGCGCCTGGCTCGAGTCTTCTCTGTATTTGTCTGTCTGTGCAGAAAACGTTTTGGAAGACTCCTTTTCACCGAGTTCAGCTTTGATGCTACTGTCCTTCCCGTCTCTGATATCCACTATCCGGTGGTAAGCTCTTGTTGTGTTCTGGTACGAATGTCTGTTGGTGCAGGTCAGCACGTGCTCATCCAGCAATTTTTCACAGCTGAAGCCAAATCCACAACTATCACAGGTAAAACTCCGTCCAAAGCGTCGGGACACACGCTCCTTGGGAGCAGATAGTTTGGACACAGAACTCTTTTTGCACACATCAAACAGCGGCTCAGGAAAGCTCGCTATCGGTAAGGACTCTTCCTCGGGCTCTCTGGTGTGCGGTGTATTCACTGTTGAACTGGGCTCCGCACACCACCTACTGGCTTCGCTGCCATTCCTAGCCACTGTGTCTTCATACATTCTTACCCCGAAAATCATCTTGCTGTTCTGTTTGCTGGAAGCAGAAGACGAACATTTTGAACTAGAGCAATCCGAGTCCTGTATGTCTTCTAGGCAGTCAGGAACGTTGTACAGCTGGAGGTAGTTCATGGCCACTTTGAACTGCTCGAAACTGGAAGGAGCAGTCATAATCTTTCCTAAATACATGAACTGCAAAATGAGATCAAAACACTCTGCGCTTATTTTCATGTTGCTGAGATTCAGTTGTGCAGTACTATGCTGATGGTTCATGAAAAACATCCGAAAATAGGAGCTACAAGCAGCTAGGACGGCTTTGTGTGCTTGGAAGTAAATGTCGTCGATAGCAATGCAGCAGTCGCAGAGAAAGCCCCACTCTCTCTGGTTGTTCAGCTGCTGAAGGACATAGCTGCTGTGGCTGGGCTTTGCCATCTTCTACTGACGAGACCTGTGTAAGCAAAGACACGACAGTCATGTTTCAGAAAGGCACTTTTTGCATGATTTTTGACTTGCGTAATTTTTGTTATTACAAGCAAAGCATTGTTTCCTGTACTAATGAAGCAAAAGCCAGTACCATGCCTAAACCATCTTCTAAATTTGAAGATGAAAATATCTAACCATTTATTCAATCGTCTCATATTGAACAAAGGCATCAAAAGCAAAATCCTTGATTTTTTTTTTTTAAGTTAAAACCCAAACCAAACCTGAACTAGTTCAGTTGATGGAGTGCTTGTCGTAGAAAGCAGAAGGGTCTGACAGGCCTGAGGTGGTGGGGCAACCTTCAGCCCTTAGAATCCACCACACTCAGGAGGCAGAGGCAGGAAGGTCTCTGAATTCCAGACCAGCGTTGTCTACATAGTAAGTTCAGGCCAGCCAAGACTACTTATACCTCGTGTCAACTAACCAATCAATCAGTTAGTCCGTCCGTCCATCTGTCTATCCATCCATCCATCCATCCATCCATCCATCCTCCCACCCACCCACCCACCCACCCACCCACCCATCCGGAAGCATGAGGACCCCTAGAAACCATATATTTAAAAAGTGAGGCATGAGGGCAGACCCATGAGGCTTGTCAGGCCAGCCAACTAGCCTTCTTAGAAGCGCTGAGACAATGAAAAACCCTGTCTCAAAACACTAGGTAGGTAGCAACTGAGGAATAACACCTGAGAGGTTAACCTCTGGCTTCCACAAACACAGGAACACACATGAACATTTACACACAAAAGTTGTCTTCATCACCAGACGAAGTGATTCATGGCTGTAATCCTAGCACTCGGAAAGGCAGGGGCAGGCCAGCCTGGTCTACAAAGAGAGACCAGGACAGCCAAGGCTATATAGAGAAACCCCGTCTTTAAAAAATGAAAAATAAGATAAATAAATATTGTTTTCATCCTAGAGGAAAAACCCATAATATTATTTTATTTTTTGTTTTGTTTTTTGAGACAGGGTTTCTCTGTGTAGCCTTAGCTGTTCTGGACTTTTGCAGACCAGGCTGGCCTGGAACTCAGAGATCTGCCTACCTCTGTCTCCTCTTCAAGTGCTCACATAAATAAATTTGAAAGGGAACAGACATTAATTCAAAAGATACAAACAACAAAAGCAAATGAAACAGTAAATAAAGCCCACTTTTCTACTTTTTGTCTCAAATTTTAATCTGTACACATAAAAGAAATCCAACATAAAATCCAACAACCATAACAAGCTGTTCAGTAAAAAAAAAAAGTTCATTCATTTCTTTTTTGAGACAGGTCTTTCTATTTAGCCCTGGCCTGTCCTGGAACGTGCTATGTCTACAAGGCTAACCTTGAACTCACAACACACTCCCGCCTCTGCCTCCAGACTGTTAGGATTACACGCATGAGCCACATCGCCAAAATGTAACTCTAAAAGTTTTCTATCTTTGTAGTAGTCATTAAGAGACTACCAAGTACGTTTGTTTCTCTTTGCTAGTATCTTTCCTCACAGATCACCTATAGATCACATACCTCGTTGTGCGGTGCCCTGCTATATACAGGCTCCTACTGTCTCCCTTCCCACTTCCCTACCTAAACGTCCACAGGGCTAGGGAGATGGTGCCTGTGAAGCACAGAAGAGGCCACTGTGTCTCCTAGAAGCCAAACCAAGTCTTTCAAGAAGGTAGTAAGTGTCAAACCTGTGTCTTGGATGTCCACAGCTAAGCTGAGGCTGTGCCTAAATACAAGTGCAACATAGGTTCAAAGACTTCATGTCATCTCTAAGAGCTAATGACACTAAGGTAATATACCAAGGTTTACTAGCCTTTAAATACATTGGTAAAGAAGCCGGGAGGACGGCACAGCAGTGAAGAGCACTTGTTAGTCTTGTGGAAGACCCAGGTTCAATCTCTAGCACCTGATGGTGACTCATGACCATCCAGTTCCATGGGATCCAACCCCACTTCTGTCCTCCAAAAGCACCAGGAAAGCATGTGGTACACAGACACACATGTGGGCAAAACACTCACACACTTAGACTGAAATAAATCTTCAAACGAAGGCACAGAAACAAAATTATGTTACAACTAGAACTAGAACTATAAAACAAATCTACACAATAATACAACCGAATACACAACACCGAGCCGCCCATTTTAAGTAGGTGAGATTTTTGGGGTCACTAGTCATTCCACTGTAGGATTCACAGAAACTTCTAATGAAAAATAAAGAGAGAAGCAGAAAGGATCAAACGTTCTAAAAAAAGACTTTCTAGCATTAACAGTTAGAAACTGAAACAAACCTAGCGATGCCAACTCGGAGCAGGGGTGAAACTGAGTGAGGCAATGCAGCAGAGCCAGGGCGGGCAGAGCCGGTCCCAGTCCTGGGCTCCCGTTCTGCATCCAGCTCACTATCACTCCACCCAGGACTCAGGTGGGAACAACAAAGAGCTCCAGAGCTCCAGGAACCATGCAGCTCGTGTATAAGATGTGGTGTTTGCCATATAAGAATTCACAGAAACAACCCTGGCTGCAGCTGTAATGGTGGCCATGTGTACTGGAGCACTGGGAGGTAAATCTAACCAGATAACTAGGTTTCCAGAGTCAAAAAATTCCTTCTTAGCTAAAAGAAAAAAAAAAAAAAAAAAAAAAAAAAAAGATGATTCAGCCACTAATCAAAACGAATACAGACATACAGAAAGCCAACTACATACATGAGGCTATAACCAGTGTTCAATTAGTAAAATCCACATGTTACATTAACCTAAACAAGCACTACAATTAAAACAGCCTCTAGAGCACTTTGATGCAAATTTATTCATCCAATAAACCAGTTACTGCATAAAGGTACAGAGACCAGCAAAGGCAAAGCTATCCCAAAACCCAAGGACACCGGGGGCTTTCTTCCCTAAATTATGGATCTCGCTCAGCATTGTAGGCAGGAAGTGGCGAACAAGAGTCAAAATGTTGGTGTAAGGTTGGTCAAATTCCTGTCTTCCCACCCTATTGTGAGACACGCAAAGCAGCTGGGTGTGGTGGCACATTCCTTAAATTCTAGCGCAAGGGAGGCAGAGTCAGGAGGGTCCCTGATTTCAGGCCAGCCTATAGAGTTCAAGGACAGGCAGGGATACCCATCTCCCCTCACCCCAAACTGTAATAATGCCAGAAAGTTTGCTTTTCAATTTTTAGAAAAATTTATAACATAAAAAAAAAATGTTGGGACTGGGGAGGTGGCTCAGTGGTTAAGAACACGTGTTGCTTTTTCGGGAAACCTGGGTTCAATTCCTAGCACTCACATGGTGGCTCACAACTGTAACTCCAGTCCCAGGGGAATCTGATGCCCTCCTTAGACCTCAGCGGGCACGTGATGTACCAACCTTAATAGAGGGAAAACACTCATGCACACAAAATAATAGAAGAAATAGATCTAGAAGGGCTCCTGGGAGTGACTTCAGTCCCAGTGTTGGGTCAGTCCCAGCGTTGGGAGGTAGAGCTGTGAGTCACAGACAAGCCTCTTCTGCATGGTGAGGTACAGGCCAGTCAAGGCTACACAGTGAGACCCTGTTTTGTTTGTCAAAACGAACAAAAACGTCACCAAATTTAGTAAGCTTTACATTTATGTAGCTCGTCAAGAAGCTTATTTACATACGCAGCCCTCATATTTCACCTGTGATAAAAATCTGCCACTGTATTTGCTTGTGTTACCAGCTCTCCCTGGAAGAACACGTTTATCATAGCTGGCGGTTGGGCGGGGACAGAAAGTAAAACCCTCAGCTTGCATTCAAATATCTGACAGCCAGGTGAGTAGTCCGGCAATCAGGAGGCAGCGATCCAATCCATCTCACACTACAAATGAAAACTGCTTTGACAATGTTTGCCAGCTCATTTCAAAAGTCAAAAATGGTCACAAAACACGTCGACTGGATTAAGCAAGTCAGACAGCCATCAACCTAGAGCATAGACTTTTAACCTAAGCCCAGGAGTCTTATCCCATAAAAAGCAAACATCAGGAAACAGCTTAACTGTGGTAAAGTAGGTACTGGGACTACAGACAAGGACTCCTATGTACCTCTGATGGCATTATCTAGCACAGTCTTCTGTGAAGACCATCAACTAAGGACAAGGGACAGGTCCTGATTTCAGGTGCCATCAGTGCACAGCCTCATCTGAATGGCTATAACCTTAGGAAGGTCACTAATGGAAGCTTGATTGATTGACTGACTGATTTATAGGGTCAGAGGCTCATGTAGATTAGGCTGGCCTCAAACTCAATTTGACGTCTCCTCCTCCTCCTTCTACCTCCCAAGTTCTAGAATCACAGGCCTGCACCATGCTTGGTTTACCAAGTGCCTGGGACAGAACCCAGGGCTTCTGGCATGCTAGATAAGCACTCTTGTCAATACAAACATAAAGCAGTGGGGACATGCACCTTTAATCCCAGCAGTTCCACGAAGCAGGGCTACACAGGGACAGAGACAGTTGTGGGAATAACCAGTTACAGAGATTCCTCAAGATAAAAGGTTTTATTTACTTTGAGCCACTTAAGCGACAAGTGAAAAAAAAAATATTATTCACTATTTAAACCAGGCATTCTGGCTAGCTATTAAATTCAGTACTTAGAACAGGAAGTTCTGAATTTATAATTGGATAATGTTCCAAAACTTATTTTTAAGTTATTTGGAACCTGAAACACACATTCCCATAGAAACAATGCTATAAATGGTGGATCAGTTTTGCACTTACACCCAAAAGTCTGTTAAAGCATCATGTGCCCGCATCAGCCTCAACAACACTGAGGCACAGCTTTTGTCGTTGGTACTCACTGATCTACGGAGCAGCACGGTACAGTAATGGCCACTATACGGAGCCCTCAAGGACAGGACAGCACTTAAAGGCCTTTGTGTTCTTGTGCCCAGCAGTGTTCCCACGTGGCTGGCACTTGGTACACGTTTGTTAAGTGGAAGAAAAAAGACAAAGTCCTGTAAACTGGCACTGCTAGACATGGGTACAGTTCTTCCCGGTCAGTGGCTCCCAGGGAACCTTGCCACCGCTTAAATCCTACCTGTCAACTATTAAAGCAGGACCGTCACATTCAGCCAAGGACTCCTGCATAAACTAGCAATGACAATGTTTAAAAGTGAATTATACTGAATGCAATTTTAATAAAATTTCATGAGAAATCAAGCTCAGCCTAGAATTCTGCAGATCAGAAAGCAAACCAAAGCTCTAGGACTGTGGTTCTCAACCTTCCTAATACTGCGACCCTTTAACACCATTCCTCTGTCATTGTGAACATGGCCAACCATAAAATTATTTCTGTTGCTACTTCATAATTGTGATTTTGCCAGTGTTAATGAATTCTAATATAAAAGCTGACATACAGAATGCCTGTGACCCCTGTGAAAGAGTTGTTCGACCCCCGAAGGGGTCTCACCCACCAGTTGAGAAACACTGCTCTAAGAGGTCAAACAGTAAGTTGCACCTAGTTTTTAGTGGCCATCAGGGTAAGACCTGGGTCTCCACCCTAGCCTAGGCCCTTCCTATTACTAACAGCTCTTGTGACTGCAACGCCTGACTTCACCATCAGTGAAGTCTGCCTTGCAGAGTGCAGGGACTGTTTGCACCTACTCAAACTGTTGTCAGACTGCAGCTTGTCTGTTTCTGTTCCTGTTCTCCCAGTCAAGCCAACAGCTGTCATTTCTCAAGCATGCTCATGTGCTGCCCACCATTTTAATCCGTTAGAGACTATAAAACTAGGCAACTCAGTGAAACAACCTACATAATTTAATTCTTTGGCTTCATGGCAGGACAATGGATAATAAATGTTACCAAGTAACAGCAATGAGCCATTTCTGTAGTTCAACTGGATTCCAGGTCTAGAACAGGATTTCATCCACATAGAAGGCAGAGGGAAGAAAATGATGTTTTGAACTCTCTCCTTTCTCTCCCATAAAAGAGGAAAGGTGTTTTATACTCCATTTTTAACCCTCTATCCTAGAGGAAGTATAGCTATTTGCTGACACCAGAGGGCACTGTAGGCACCTCTGACCTAAGAGACACCATAAGGTTGGTCCCCTTCCCGCACGGCTAAGCACTCTGTATTTGTTAGGGTTTGTTTCGTAAATCTTTTACTTATTCCAAAGTCTCCACTTTGTGCACTCACACTGCTGTGCGTGTGAGCAACTGGAAGGCAGGCTGTTGGCTCAGTCTTTATTTTAGAATGTAAGTATTCAGTAAAAGCTGCTGAACGTCCTGCTCCTATTTTCCTCCTTTCTGCAGAGCCTACAACTCTTCCCGGTTCCGAAGCTCCAGTGGTTTTCGTTTGGTTCTAACCAAAACTGAGAAAACTCCAAAGCTGTTCTGGAGAAAGGGTCTCACTCACTATGTACATCAGGCTGGCTTCCAAGAGATCAGCCTGCCTCTGTGTGTGCCACCACAGCCTGAAACACTCCAAATCCTTATCTAATTAAAATAAAGGAAACCAATAAAATGTATCATTAAAAAAAAAAAAAAAGAGTATCCATTCTTGGGCCTTAAATCTCTTAAAGAGTTCCCCATCCCACAACACTTGAGAGTAAAAGCCTTTCTCATTTCACAGATGCCATTCCTTTCCTTTGAACAGTCTCTGGGGAGTCCTTTCTGAGCCAGGATGAGGCAGGCACCTCTTTTCTGGGCTGCAAACACCTGGTAAACCAGAGAGACAAATGATGATCATCTAAACTGGGGGTCGTTCCAGTCACGCACTCTTGATTTACTGTATGTTCCTTGAGATCAAGGTGTCCTGTCATCAGGACACCCCCAGCTCCTAGTGCTTGCCTGGCATTTAACTGATATTTAATCGGGTTTTCAAGGAATAAACGCTGAAGAGGGCAGGTTTTATTTTGCTTATGGCTCTCACTGAAACTTTGTAAGGCCCTTTCCATACATTAGTTAACAGATACCCACAACACCCTGACCCTGAGATGGGTTTTAAATTATCCATATTTTGTGAATGAAGAAAACAAGCGTAGTAGCTAAGGGTTTATAGCATAAGCAGAAGCTGGGGCCCGACACTCTTAACTCTTGCTTCAAAGCGTGGCATTTCAGTTTTCGCAGTCCAGACAACGCTTTCTGGGTATGATTATTAAACGCCCCTCCGGAACATTCTAAGGCTCCCACAGTCACATTTTCCACCACTGTAAAAGCTCCCGTCATTCTTGCACTGTCTTATCTTGCAGCCAGACAGAATTCACCCCTTCTGTATCTCCCTTTCCATCTGCTGACCCCCCC